ACGACATCGTCCAACAAGACGTTCCACGTGATTGTAGACGTCACCGTTCTCATCGAGAAGGGTCGGTGGCAGGCAGCGACGACCAGGTCGACCGCCGTCCGGTGACTCGTGATGCTCTTCAAGTCCTTGAGGACGAGGTCCTTCGTGATTGGAGCTCCGCTGAGCGTCATGCTGAAGTAGCACACTGCTGTGCGGACGCTCTTGACGATTTAAAGCACGTCGTGCGCCGGCTGCCTCGCCTTGAGGACTACCGCCCTTTGTCGGCGCGACACCTAGTCGTGGAGCAGGCGAATGCATCGCTGCAGGCAACAGTCGAGCGCTTGGATCCACTGAAAATGGAGGTTGTTGTACTTCTTGCTCAGAACCAGTTGCTAGTTCAACTTCTGGGTGGCCGAGGGCCCGTGGGATCCGCTTCGGTGCCAACGCTTCCGCGTTCACTAGCGCCAAATCCCGGTAAGGCTTGAGCAAGCCCACGTAAAACACCGGGTGGGTGCGCATCCGTTTGGGAAGGCTTAGCGTATACGCTAGGTCCCGCTTGGCCCCGCTTGGCCACAACCTTGAAGGGTTCAATAAAATGTGGACGAGGCTTCGTCCGGAAGATAGCAGAGGCTGCACGTGTAGGCATGTATTTAGAATTTGATAAAACTAGACCCCCGACCTTAAACCTTTCCACATTGCCTCTTCCTTTTTCATCTGCATATTCTCTCTACAGGTCTTGGCTTTCAGCCATCGCATCGCGAACGTGTCTTAAAACACTCAGTCTGGTAGACAAGAAGTCATCGACATATTCACGGATGGTGAGGGGGCTGACATTAGCTAGCCGTTTGGCTATTCCTCCCCCACCAAGCCCTGAGCCATGGGATGGCGGCGTCAGCGAAACGCGACGGTGAATCAGCACGTTCATGTCGAACGGCGTATAGCCACTTGACGAATGCACTGCAATGTTCGGTGCAAACTCTACAGGTGACAACATGGCGCTACAGCGCCTCGGCGTCTCAGCGCAGACGGTGAGAAGAACGCATGCGATGACGCGATTCACCCTTTTTGTTTGACAATCGGTCTGCGGATGATCCGCTGTCGACATATCTAACTCAGTGCCTAGCCTCTATCAGAAACAATCGTCTCTGGGAGTCAGTGTTGACGAAAAGCACCGTGGAGATAGTCGACCAAAACTTTTCCGCGAAACGGGGGTCTCTATCAGAAACAATCGACCCTGAGAGTCCGAGTTGACGGAAAACACGATCTACAAACAGCGTTGCTGTAACGACTCCGTCGATGGTGTCTGGCACCGCCGCCAAATGAGTCATCTTGCTCAACCGGTCGACTATACCACGACACCTGTTTGCCCACCGAATCTTTCGGCAGGCCAAACACAAAGTCCGAACTCATGAACTACCAGCACCCAGTGGGTACCGGTAAGCTGGCCAGCGGCGCAGCCGCATTTGGGGA